CTCGGACTTGGAGGAGCTGATTCTCATCCCGGCCGCCTCACACTTGGCCCCACTTCACAGGGTGTTTTCCAGGCTCCGGCCTTGCTGGGTGATGTCATGTGCCTTTGGAGACCATACCAGGGTCATTAAGCCCCCGACAACATAGCCTCTGAAACCATGTTAAGGCAGCGCTTTAGGGAAGGAAGTGGAGCTTTCTGCAGGGAGAGGCGTAGGGTTGGAATGGGTCTGCTTGTTTCCTTCCAGGTCGATGGTCTTCTGTTAGAGGTCACCCTCATGAGGGCTGCATCCCTTCGACTTCCTGTAGGGAGAAGAAGGTCCTGCAATATTAGCCAAACGACAGTACAGAGTACCAGGCCTTCCTGATATTCAACCCAACGGTTCATTTCCTTGTCTTTTTCTACTTGTTTAAGGTAGTCTGTAATTTTTTTTTTTCTGTAGGCGTTGGTTGGATCTGTTTTCAATAATTCATAAGTGTTGGTGTCAATCAGCAGAGTGGGAGTTTTGTCCTGGTAGTCTGAAGTGTTGAGGACCACGGTGCATCATCCTCTGTCTGCTGGTAACATGGAGATGCTTTGGTTCTGGCTGAGGGACCTGGGGGTCTGCTGGACACTCCTGGACCTCACTGTTCCTCCTGCTTTCTGTCTTAATGTGTTGAATTGAGCTTGTTGCCTTCCTTTGCGTTTCTGGTGCAGTGAACGTTGGACTTTATCAGGTTTGTTGATCAGGTCCAGTTTTCACAGCACCAGGAAACCAAAGGAAGGTAAAAAGCTGAAGAACCTTTATGGACTAGATTTCTAGGAGCAGAGCTGGACTGCAACACATTCTAGAAATATTTTAAGATGCTTCATCACTTTTTTTTAATATTCTGCAAACATTTTCCCTTGAATTAAAGTACGGGTCACACTCTGACTCTGGAGCAGCAATATTTCACCTCCTCTCTTCAGCTTCGATGGCCTTTTTTGGTCTTCAAAACTATTTAACAGCTGATTAATCTCAAAAGAACATCCTGGATGAAACTGAAGATAGAGAAAATACTTTAAAGTATGATTTGTTCTGCAGCCGATTAGTCGGACAGAAATGAGCTAACTGGGATTCCAGTGTCTCTCTGGCCTCCTCTCAGTATGCTCACACCAGTTCTTGTTCTTCCACCACGTCCCGCTCTAATGTCTGCATGTTGTGTTTTATTTGGTCCAAGATCTGAGGTCTGATGGATCAGAACTAGAGATCTTCCTGGGCCTTTGGACCGGACTCTGGTTCTGAAAGAAAACTGAACTTTTACAACGTCATGATTTTTAATCCAAACCAGAAACTGATAAATAGACATAATTTTAATGTTTATTTTTGCAGATGCTATGAATCACGTTATTTTGTTGTGATTTTATGTTCAATGCTTATCTAGGCGGGATGCCACCTTAATGTTGTGGATTTATATTCTATTCTATTATCAACCAGCTGGGAATTTATATTTCTGATACCTTAACATGTTTTTTGCCCTCCCTGGTAGGGGTGGAAAATATCTTCTTTAATATCAACATACGTCCTACTAGCTGTGTTAGAACAATAGATGAAAGAGTGATTCCAGCACTAATTATGGTCAAACAGTTAATTCTGCACATTAATGGAATAAATTCATCACAACTTCTGTTCAAAATATAAGAGTTTATTAACAAAAATCATTCAGCTCCAAGTCAAACATATTTCGGTTTAACACTCTTAACTAAAACTAGTTAACTAAACTAAACTAAACTAAACTA